TGTCCAGGGCGCGCGCGTACTGCCCAGCGCGGAGGCAGCCGAAGGCCTCACGCAGCTCCGGCCGCGTAAGGAAGTCCAGGAGCTCGCGCGAGCGGCGCACGACGCGGATGGCATAGAGCATCCGCAAGTACTCCCTGAGCGCCAGCCTGCGCTCGCCGATCATCTCCTCCGAGAAGTTCCCGGTCAGGAGCTTCCCGGGGAAGACCACGTCCTCGATCTCCTCCCGGTAGGACTTCAGCAGGCTTTTCTGCAGCTTCTCGAAGTCCGAGTAGCGCCGTTCCAGGACAGCTTTGTTGCTGTCGAAGCTGCCTGTCTGGATGACCACGATCTGGTACATCTGCGGCCAGAGGGAGACCCTTATACTGCAGCTTAGGTGACATTTCCCTTTGAACCACAACACCCTTAGCCCGTTTTGTTTCTTCTTCTTTTTTAAAAAAATTTTTCCTTCTTTCACTATGAGAATGAACCGAGGGGCATTACACTGAGCTACACATCTAGTCCTGTTTTACTCTATTTTTGAGACAGGATTGCACTAAATGGCTAAGTTCCCCGGGCTGGGCTGGGACTTGTGATCCTCCTGCCTCACTCTCTCAGAGGGCTGGGATTACAGGCACGCGGCACCATCCCCTGCCTAATACTGGCCTTTCATTTAAATATAGTGAATGATTTTAGAAAGTGAGTCAATTTAAATAAAAAACTGAGTGAGTGAGCAAGGATATGAGGAAATAGGTGGAAAGGGAACACTGGTGACCGATATCCTATGACATGGGGATAAACGGGCCTGATGACCTCTTCGGTTCTCGGACAGTGACGGATACGTCTCTGATTGTCACGGGACCCAGCAGTGCCGAGCATGAAACCTAGCTCTCCAGTCATAGTCTCTGGAAGAACGCTGTGAGATAGAGGGTGTCCTCCGCCCACTATAGGGTAGGGAAAGTGGAGGATCCCCAGGGCTTGCCCGCGGCAGGAGGAGGTAGTGAAAGGGGCTCCCTTCCTTCCCCTCTGGCTCACCACAAACTTGGAGACCCTTCTCTGTTCGATGCGGGCTGAGGCGATCTCGAAGAGCAGCTTGACGGGCTTCCAGTGGCCCTTCTCGCTCCGCCAGTACTCCTGCAGCTCCCGCGTGGTCATGCTGGAGTTGGAGCTCTGGCCGCTGGGGTCATCTGGAAAGACAGCACCCTTAGGGACTCCCAGCAGGCCATGGCACTTTAGAGGCAAGGGCTTGAAGAAGTGGCCCGGTCAACAGATGGGATATCAGAACTCCTACCCCTGTTAGAGCACTAATTATCCCCTCCTCCCACCCCTGGGCCCACCGCTGAGCCCATCACCCGGCCCCTTTCTTGGTTGTGAAATGCACCTCTGTTCATTACATCACTTACTTCCCGCCTGCAGGCTGGCTGTTGCGAAACCCCGTGTTCCTGACAAGCAGGGACCCAGCCTGTCCACTGTACCCTCTATCACACAGGCTCTCTGTGTGCTGCTGGGACCTCCTGCGCGCACGACGGTGCAGTGACCAGAGCTAGAAGATGTCCTGCGCTGGTCTCGGCCTGGGTCTCTGGCCCCTGGATCTCAGGGCCCACGCACCCTGCTTTTTCTCACTCGTGCTGCTCCTCTACCAAGAATCCCACTCTCCCATTCCCCTACGCAGTGTTTCTGAAATCTCCCTTGGGCCCTGTGCCCCTGAGAATTCTGAGGAAGCTTGGACTCCTTCCCTGATTTTATTTATTGAGCCCCAAAAACCTGTGTCCACCCAGCCCACTTGTCATTCCACTCGCCCCTTGGCATTTGATCCGGAGCCTCCCACTTTGACCTTTTAGCCTTTGTTTTGCATTTTGAACTTTCCACTGATGTTTCCCCACCAAGCTTGAGGGCCAGAGTGGGTTTGATTTGCTCCAGTTTCCCTGCATGGGGCACAGCAGTTGGTCAGTGGGTCCACCTCAGGTGATGGTGAAAGGAGGTGATGCTGTAGTAGATGTTATCAGTTCTGGGCCAGGTCCCCTTGGCACTCAATCTTCTAGGTGGTGCTGCTGGCTTTCTAAGTGAAGGAACTAGGACTTTGGCCCTGCATACTTCCGGGGTACAAGCAGCACACTTAGGAACATTCCTCAGCTGATGCAAGATGGGACTGGCAGATAATAGCTTCTCTCAGATGTGACAACTGAGACATGTTTCATGCACCATCCAGAGGACCATCTCTGGGACTGAGACCCGGTTACCTATTCTATATTCTACCCTACAGAAGCCTCCTACCCCTTTCCCCTGGCGTCCTGCTCCCTGCCTTGCCTCCTGGGATCATCTCCCAGCTCCAGGCTTTCTTTGGGATGACCCAGTTAAGACAGCTGCCCAGCTGGCTTGATGCAGCCACTGAAGTGAGCCCCGCTCATATTTCACATGTCTTTGAGTCTCTTTTCCCTGCCCAAGCCCCAAGCCTCAAGCCCACCTAGGTGTCCTTCAGGTCTTGGATGTGAGAGGTCTGGGCCAGTGGTGGATGCTTCCTGCTTGGTCCATGCTGCAGTCTGGGTCATGGCTCCCATCCAGCCAGGGCTCCCAGGGTGCTCAGCACTTGCCATGGTCCTAGGCTGCCAGGAGCACAGGAGAGAACAGTGAGTGCCCACTTGTGTGCACATCCCGGAGTCGCCATAGGAGCCATGTCATGCTCCCTGCTGGTGGGCTCCGGGAATGACAGTGGCATCCTGCTGCTGGATCAAACTTGGGTCTGTCCCTAAGCTGGACAGATGGTGCCAAGGTGGCATAGACCCTTCAAGGTGGCACAGAGCCCATACTGTTGTGATACCAGTGCTGTTGAGTTGCTGTGGGTTTTAAATGAGGTCATTTCAAAGAAGGCAGTGGCTTCAATGACTACCTGAGTGAAAGGTGCTGGCTTGTCCAGATAAATGGTCCAATATTCAATTTTATCTTACTATCTAGCTAGCTATTCATCATCTATCTATTTTTAAGCAAACACTGACAAATTATTGTTCCTACTTCATATTATCTACCTCTTGACACCTCCTTCTTTAATTTGATGCCCACAAAACTCTAGCATTCCCACAAATAACAGATGAAGAAACTGGGGTCTAGCTCAGAGTCACATGGCTGATCAGGAACCCAAAGCAGCATTTGTCTCAAATGCTTGTGAAGTGCTGGCTGCGTGCTCCAAGATCAATATGCTGTCTTGCTGAGTCTGACCACCCGCTGCGAGAAGGACTGCTTTTATCTCCACTTTGTGATAAAGGAGTCCAGAGCTGAAGTCCCCCAAGAACAAGGCCTGGTATGTGCTGGCAGGACCCAGACCCAGCAGACCCTCTCTGTCTTATGGGGGCAAGTCGGGAGAGTGGGCAGCAGGGGTCCAGTTAACATAGTAACTGTGACCCTAGTGAGTAGACAAGATGACCTGGTGGCCAGCACATTTCTCAACTTCTCCCTAGAAAATGAACCTAATAGCAGAGCCCACCTTCAGAGGCTGGTGTGCAGATTAAGTCAGCAGCCCTGTAAGGCATTAGCTCAGGCTCCACACAACACCGGGCACCAAGTGGCTGTCTTATCTATTACGATCGGGATGCTTTGAGAAATAAGTGACTCTCGACTAAGGTGTAAGCTGGAATAGAATTACACCTATCTTCAAGTTAGACAAAGGACAATGGGAGCATTTACTTGGAGCAAGCAGCTAGGCTCTGTATGGGAGCAGAGATTTGGATGCCCCTGCTTATCAGGACCCCGGAGAGCTGCACAGGGATGCTACCTCTAGAACTCTGGACTCTTGGATTCCAGTCCCCAGGATGAACTTCTAGCTGACTGTGGCCTTGAGGGAAGTGGGGTCACTGCTGCTGCAGCATCATCTCCTATGTCCCTGTTGAGACAGCAGCCTTTCGCAGTGGGCCTGGCCTAGGGAGAGGCCCTTAGCAGGGCCTGTAGCCTGTGCCTCAGTGGCAGCTCCGGCTACACCAGACCAAGGAACCCTAAGCAATCTCCAGGTGGCCTCTGGACAGTTGTCCAGTGGGTGCCCCTGGGACTTTCCATCTACCCACTCCTTGTAAACTGAGGCACAGGGCAGGGCCTGGTGGGTCCAGGGCTATATATGCCCGAGTATGTGTAGCTTCCACACCTTATTTGTCTCTTAGCAGTCAGGAGCCAGGGCCTTCCTTCTGACTCACTATGTTAGGCAAGGTCTCCATTTCCTCACAGGCCAAGTGGGGCCACAAGCCCTATTCTGCTGGTGAGATGATAGATGGCTAGGGAAGTGCCATCTTTTTGGCTGGTTAAGCAAAACAGCAGGTGGTCCACATGCTCTCTTATCTGATGGACTCTTGGTAGGACTTCGTGGGGACCCATTGTTTTCCTGGGTGCACTCCTCTGCAATGGACTCAGTGCACTCCTCTGTAAAATGGGTGATGGTCGGGTAACACTAGTGTCTGTGGTCCCAACCCCTTCTGGCTCTGCTTTCCTGGTCTGGCAGTTGGTGCCAGGTCAGAAGCACAGCACCGCTTTCCTGGAGATGCTTTAACTCCCCAGAAATGATACCTTTGAGGGATGTTCCAGTAAAGACTCAGGCAAGCTGATCATGAAACCAGGGCTTAGAATAAAAATTGAATTCAGCAGCCAGTGCCAGCTCCCTTACGTTTTCTCTTAGGGGACTAGCTGGGAACCACCCATTTAAAGAGGAGTGGAAGGGAAAGACTCGTGCATTGGTGGGTCCATGGGATCCTGAGCAGCTTCCCGTCCCTCTCTAGGCTTCAGTTTCCCCACTTGTGAAGTGGGGCAGCCATCCTGTTACTCTAAACATTCTTTGGAGACAGCCACACAGGGATTCTGTGGGTTTTCCCTTCTCTGTAGCCTTGGCAGCAAAGGTTCCTAGGTGACAACAAAACACTGCAAATGTCGGTGCTGTTGGCTTGGGGGCCTCACTCATCCCAGAAGACCACTAGCTTCCCAGTCCTGTGTACCCTGCAGCTCCTCCTCATGCGTGCCAGTCCTTCTCTTCCTCCTTGTCTCCCAGGTTCCTGACCCTCGCTTCCCCCTTCAAGAGCTCCTGGCACATCTAGTCTTCTTTCTCATGGGCACACAGGCCCCCTGCAGAGCCTATGCCACCTTTCTCCGGGAGCTGCAGAGGACCTGTCATCATCACGGAGCCTCTGGTCTAGTGAAACACAGCCCCTGGCTTGCCGGGGAGACAGAAGTGCTTTGAGCATCGGATGCACAGCTGGGCCAGACTGGATATCACAGGACACCTGGATGCTCACCCAAGCAGCCCTCCAGGGCGAGGGCTTCCTAGGGTGCCTGTGCAACAGAATCTCCTTTTGGGGTGAAGCTGGGTGCTGGGGGCTCGTGCCAAAGTAGATTTCCCAGTGCACAAGGCCCAGAGTCCCAGGTAGCAGGTCTGGGGTGGGCTCTGGAGGCTGTACTTTGTACAGGGTCCCCTGGGGTCCTTGCTAGGTTGATACAAGGTCGCTGGTCACACTTTATGAGAAACTCAGGCCTAGTGACTTATTCCCTAGGATTGAGATGGGTTGTACACGTGTCCAGGATTTCAGAAAGAATTGAGGTGACAAGGGTGGGGGGATAGGGGTTCCCTGCCTGCTGCCCCCCAATGTGCTAAGCACACCCCCCAAGCTGTCATCAACCCTCCTCTGTCCCGCCCTGCCCCCAGAGGGTGCAGAGAGAGGGTCACAGGAGATGGGGACAGGGCCACGGTGGGCAGGGGCCAGCTGACCTTGGGATCTAACACTGACCTGAGGTCTTCAGGATCTGTGCTTGTCAGGGGTCCAAGACAGGGTCACATGTCCCCTTTGCTTCTCCGTTTCAAGCTCTGGCAAGTGGTGAAGTGGCTGCCGCTTTGTTAAGTTCCCCGTTTGAAAACAGGAAATGGGCTATATGACCTGCTCCTGATCTCTCAGCCCATTGGCTGCTGAAAGATGGTGTACGGCACTCAGGTCTTCTCTGGCAGCCAACAGGGTGGAGTGGGGCGGAGCAGGGCTGGCTCTCCACAATCCCGAGAGAGTCTAGCTTGGCCTCATTTCCCAGCAGCCTCCCTGCCTTTTGGAGACCTGGACTCTCCTGGCATTCAGATAGTTGCTCCCAGAACTCTCTCTTTCCATCACTGTCTGTTGCTGTGACAGAAGACCACAGACCCAATACATGATAAAGAAAAGAAGTTTAGTTGGTGCACAATTCTCCAGGGACACTGTGACTGTGTCTGGGGAAAGACCTTCCTGTCCTGTGTGTCATAACATGGTAGGAAGTAGAAGGGCAGCAGCAAAAGAGAGGGCAAGAAGGGACCTACTTCTCTGCAGCTAACCCATTCCATGGGAATGGCGTCAATCCAGTTATGAAGACTCTGTCCACCCTCATGATCCAAACAGTAGGCCCCACCTCCCAACATATGGGATCGGGGACCAGACTTTCAACAATAAATGGGGGGAATGCATCCATGTTATAGCCCTTTAACATGTGGTGTCCAGTCCTTCAAGCTAGGCACAATGGGGGCCATCATATCTCATTAACAGAGAACAAACTGAGGCTTGGAGCACAGAGCTGGTGCCTGACATGGAAGGCCATGGGGTGACCTCAGAGTTCCATCTGTGCAAAGCTGTACCCTGCACTGTGTACAGAAAGTACCAGGGAAGACAAATGTTTTGGCAGTGATGTAACTCATGGCCACAAGTATTTATGGCCTTAAGGGCAAGGAGCTGGGGCAGAGCAATAAATAGGACGTTGCTGCATCCTCCCAGAAGTCTACCACGTGTCTTCCCAGCAAAGGCAGTCACAGTCCTGATTCTCATGGGGTCATTTCCTTGCTTTATGAACCTCCCACCCATGAATAGATCCTAAACACTTGAGTCTCATTTTACTTACTTTTGAGTTCTATGTGAATTGAGCCATACATGCTATTTGTATTCTTTGGTGTTCTTGCTTCTTTCACTCAACAGTTATGTGTGTAAGATTCACTGATTGTGTGCATGCGTGTGTGTGTTTGTGTGTGTTAGTTGGAGGCTTTAAATATGTCGTTCCATTGCTATGTTATTTGAATACCTTATTATTTATCATTTTATGGTCTTTTGATGCATGTTTATGTTGTTTCTAGCATAGCCATGATGATTAGTGCTGTTAGTTATATTACACATTTATCCAGGTCCATGTGATTTTGGGGGAGGAACTTGGGAACTGAGCCCAAAAATTTCACATTGAACCATACCCCCAGCCCTTTTTTATTTTGAGGCAGGATCTCACTAGGTCAGTAAATTGCCCAAATTGGGCTTTAGTTTGTGGTTCTCCTGTCTCAGACTCCCAGAGTGCTGTGGTTGTAGATGTGTGCTACCACACCTGGCACTACGTGATTTTCCCAGGTGAAATTACTGGCTCTCCAAGTTGGAATAGTTTCAACTGTGTTAGATTGAGCCAAGCCGTTTTCCAGAGTGCCTGTGCCATTCTGCATTCCCGCCAGCAGCCCGTGAGAGGTCCAGGTGCTCTGCCTTCTCACCCACAGTCAGCATCGTTGGTATTTTGTATCATAGACATTGTAGTGAAGACTAATGATATTAAGCATCTTTTCATGGGCTTACTTTCCATCTTTAGCTCTTCTGCAGTGAAGTATCTGTTCAAGTCCATTTTCTTATTGAATTATGTTTATCGGTCTGTAGGCATTCTTTATGGACTCATTTGGGTCTCTGTGCTTCTCAGTATCCATTTCCTTCCTGTGCTTTGCATTTGTACTCACTTCATGGGCTCCTGTGATGAATAGAAGTTGCCAACTCTAAGTAACCCCGCCACATCAATCCTTTCTTTCTTAACCAGGTCTTGGAGCTTTCTCCTTCTTTGCTGCTGCAACAACCTCATTGGCCATTGGGGGGCTTAAACTGAGTCAAGATGTGCAAAGGGGTTAAAACAATGCTGTTGTGTTCCCTACAAATGCTGGCAATTGTTGTTATTTTAAAATCTTTGGTTTGCCTTTCTCACATGGGGCTCTATAATGTACCTTTTGGCTTGTTGACTTTCTTTATTGAAATGGTCACCCGGTCTCATCTCTCTGCTGTACCATAACTGTCAGGAAAAGCATTTGTGTAGTAACGGTCTGTTTCTAGGGAAAGAGCTCCAGGAATGTGCAGTGCGTCATGTGCCCCTGCGTCTGTTTGAGGAGCCTGGGGTGTTGCTATGTCTACTTCACCTACTTCTACTTCAGGAGGCAGGAGGCATGACGTGGGGCAGGGCGCTCAAATAGTGTGAATCTGGGTGGCCTCTCCCCTCCACTCCTTGGGCGGGGCCTGGCAGCGTGCTAGTTTTCCAGCCCAGGCTCCGCCCTTGCCTGGAACCTGTGAAATGCCAGGGCAGACTCAGCCCATCTTGGAGCCCCAGAAACCCCTCATCCCAAAGTCAGCAACCACAGGGGAAGGGTGTGTGGCAACTATCACTTCCTCTTCTGGGGCCAGGAGACCGTCTTTGGAAACCCCCGGATCTGGAGGATGTCTGGCCTATGTCGGAATTACCCAGCTGGACAAAACCGACCGGCAGGCTTTGCACTTGGCTATCTGCTGGGTGTGGCTTTTCTCTGCAGCCCTATTGGTGGAGCACTGGCAAGGGCCCCGGCTTGGTCTATTCAGGCTGCCATAACAGAGTACCATAGCCTAGCAAGTGTCTCACAGCTAGGGAGGCTGGGAGATCCCAGGCCAAGGTATGGGCAGATTCAGTGTCTAGGGAAAGCTAATTCCAGGTTTGAAGGTGGCCCTCTTTTTGTAGTTCACATGGCAGAAAGAGGGCGAGAGAGCTCTCAGTGTCTCTCTTACAAGGGCAATGATCCTATTCCCGAGGGTGACCTCATGACCTGATTACCAGCCCCCAAAGGCCCCAGCTCTTCATACTGTCACAGTGGGGTCAGGATTTCAACATAAAAATTGGGGATGGGATGGGGACATAAAGGCCTTAATAGGCAGACATGGTTCCACTATCATGAGTGGGACATGGCAGGGGAGTCATTGCAGTACTGAAGCCAGATGGCGACGAGTGGACACCGAGGAGCACTGGGGTGTTGGGGAGGGAAGCCCTGGCATCTCAGAGTCTGGGTGCCTCTTCTAGAATTCAGAACCAGAGCACCACTCTCTCTCCCAGGTGGTTTCCTGTCACATTTGGAGCAGATCTAAATGCACTAAAGCCCGCTGGATCTTCCTGACCTCACTGTGTCCTTTCCCAGTGTCACTCCCCATGCTCGCTGCAGCTGCCCTGGGGGCTTTGGGTCTCACAAGCTTCCGTGTCTTTGCAGTTCCTTAGGGTGGAAATACCCTTCTTTTGGTTCTTTCCATAATGGGTTCTTTCACATCATTAAGCCGCAGCTCCTTCATCCTTCCCCTAGGTGGCTTCTCCTGACCTCTGTCCAGACCATCATTTGCTTCTTGATCTGCCGTCTCCAACATCATGATGGCAGAGACTTTGTGACAGCATTTTGTACCTAACACCAAGCACAGTTCCTGCCACCTAGTGGGTGCTCCGTAACTGTTTTGCATGTAAGCCAGGCATGGGGGTGCATATTTGTAATCCTAGCACTCAGTGAGACCCTGTCTCAAAATGAAAAAAAAAAAAAAATTAAAATGGGCTGGGAATATATCTCAGTGTAAAGTCTCTGGGTCCAATCCCTATACCTTCCTCACCTCCTCACCCTGCTTCAAAAAACAAAAAGAAAAAGTAACTATCGTGTGAGTGAATGAATGAGTGGGTGGGGTAAACACAGGGAAGGGATTGTCCCGGCTGGGGCTCAGCTCAGCTGTGACTCATAGAGTGATCCTGGGCAGATTACCCACCCCTCTCTGAATTTCCATTTGACTCATTGCAACACAGTATTAAATCAACTCCTCCTAGCAGCAAAGCATTTTACTTGGGCAAATCACTAAGCCCTAAAGACTACTGCTCACCAGCACTGCAGAAGTCTGACACACTAGGGACTGTGATAGTGAAACATTCAACAGGAATTGATGGCTGCCCGTGGGCCTCCCCATGTCTGGCGGGCAAACCTCAGCTGGCCAGGGTTTTGCAGGTGATACAACACCTGCTGTTGTGAGCCTAGTTTTTTGGCACCTAAGTGTTTGAAGGGTTTTCATACTGCCGGATTTTAAAATTGGGGCCACAGATGGGACACAATAGTGGCTGTATTGAGACACCCGAGGGTAGCCATGGAGTGCAGATGTTATTTCTGTATCCACGCTGGGAGATCTAGTCACCGTCCCTGAGTCTCCTGGTCCTCCCTTACCTGCAGGATGCTCAGGCTTTCTGATCTGAGGCTGGATCTGTAATGCAGTGCTGGGGTGGAACCTAGGAACTGGCACAGGCTAGGCACATGCTTTACCACTGTGCTCCCCATGCACCCCAGTCTGCCTTCTCCTCACGGGACAGCACTTGCTTCCCATTCTTGGTAGATCTGTTTGTTGGTGTGAAGTCTTCTGAGCACTCAGGAAGGAGATTAGGGCTACAGTGAGTTGTTTTAAGGTTTGTGCCCATCACAGGGCACCTGATGAGGCTAGGTAGGGGTGAAACATAGGCTCCACTTGGCTTTTCATGTCCCAGCAGACACAGGGGTGCCTTCTTCTCTATGGTGAGCCATTATGGTGAGCCTTGACACAGGCCTAGCCATGATTGAACTTTGAGTCACCTCGCTGGCATGGATGTGCTCTCGCCCATAGCCACGGGTGAGTTCAGCTGGTAGCAGATGTAACCCATAATGGTTGTTATTGTTTCCCTCTGGAATGTGTGGGCGGTACTCTCGCTCCCTCGCTCCCGTGCAGCCCTTGCTCCCATGCAGCTGGAGAGTATAAAAGGAAGAGGTTCTGTAATAAAGCCAGCAAGCAAGCAGCATGAGAAGAAAAGTGCCTCTCGTCTCTCTGTCCTCGTCCTTTCAGGTTTAGGACCTGCTGGCAGGATCCTGACGTCGCGGCTCGTGACACTTCTCCTTAGAAAAGGGACACAAACCTGGCCTGATGGCAGGTTAACTCATGATGGTGGGTTGAGGAATCATTTTTCAAAGATGGCTGCCAGAGTATTTTACTTTGAGGAAGTGGAATCTGAAAGCCTGAGACTTGAACAGAAGGGATTGAGAAAATAAAGGTGATTCTAGAAGCAGAGGAATAGAGGATACAAGGGCAGAATCATACATTATAAGATGTCCTGGCGGGTAGGCTGGGATGGGGGAGCTGGATTCTGTTTCTTGGGTGGTGGATAGGCTCAGTCTGTTTAGGCTGCTATAGCAAAATGGCATAGACCCTGTGGTTTATAAATTCTCACGGTTTGGAGGCTGGAAGTGCAAGATCAAGGCTCTAACAGAGCCAGTATCTTTTGAGAGCCTGCTTCCTAGATGGTTGTCTTCCTGCTGTGGAGGGGTGAGGGGTGAGGGGGTCTCTGACAAGGGCATGAATACCATTCAGGTACTCATACCATTCATATTTGAGAGCTTCTGTTTTCACAACTTGCCAAGACCTAGTAGATGTATTCTTCAGGGCAAGATCCAAGTGGATTGTCATCTCCACTTACTAGCGGGGGAGACTGTTATGGTTTGTGTCTAAAACGTCTCCTAATAGTCTCAAGTGTTGAAGGCATTGTCCTCAGTGCAGCAACATTTAGAGGGGGGGCTTCTGGAAGGCCATTAGGCCACGAGGTCTCTAAGCTCATCAGTGGATTAATCTACAGATGGCTTGATAATTTGATGGCATTTGTGGAGGTGATAGAAACTTAGGAGGTAGATCTTGAGGAAATGGGTCATGGGAAGCCTGCCCTTAGGGCCTATAGCTGGTACCTGGCCCCTGCGCCCCCCCCCCACTGTTTTCTGGCTGCCACAAGGTAAGCAGCTTTCCTCTCCACACTCTTCTGCCAATCATGTTTCGGCCTCATCACACCCTATAGCAATGGAGCCAGCTGACCATGCTATCACCTCTGAAACCATGAGCCAAAATAAACTTTTCTTCCTTTAAATTGTTTTCTCAGGTATTTTGTCACAGGACAGCAAAGCTGACTGATACAGACTGAGGTCAAGAAATTCTCAGTAACTGGGCCAGCCATGCTTAGAGGTAAGTGGCACAGCTGTGGTTCAGACCAGGTTTTGCTTGTACCTGTTGTTACATCCTGTTGTTACTGCTTGGGCAGAGTGAGCCAAAGCTCCAGGTGGCATACGGGGTGCTGGAAGAAGCTGGTTGCCAGTGACAGGTGCCCGTTGGGATGGTAGGAAGACCAGTCTTGCATTCATTCACAATGTTGGAAGGGTTTGGGCCTTAGTGAGGGGTGGACCGATTGAAGCAGAGACCTGCATGGGTTTCTGCACAGTGTGAGTCCAGAGTGACCTGCCGTGTCCACAGCAACAGTTGGTCCGTCTGGTCAGGGTCCCTTCCATCCCAACAGGCTGGAGAGAGCCCCACCTGGGCAAGGAGGAAGCTCTTGGGCAACCTGTTCCTAGCCAGCCTCCCGACTCAGGATGGTTTTACTTTATGCAGCCCAGAGAGTTTCTCCAGAAGAGGACAGCCTGGACCTGGGGCTCTTAGAGATGTTGTCCTTGCCCCTTGTGAGCACTGCCTCACTGGTTCCTGGGTCAGAGCACTTGGGGGCAGAAACATCATCGGGGTCCTAATTGCCTGTCCCTGGCACAGGTCCTGCAAACGGGATTTTTAATAGATGTCCTTCTAAACACATGGAAAAGTTTTAAAATAATTATTATTATGTTGGTAGTATGTTTAGGGAACACAGGCTAGCAAAAAAGAGTTTAAGGAGCTGCGTGTGGTGGTGCTAGGGAGGCAGGGAGATTGAAACTTCAAGGCCAGCCTCTGCAACTTAGACACCATCTCAGAGAGAGCGAGAGAGAGAGAGCGAGGAGGGGGGTGCTTATAACCCAATCATAAATTTCGATGGATAGTGTTTTAGACTCAACACACAGTCATCAATTCTTATTACACAATAGCATAATAGCAGCATACTTTAGAAAACATTTTTGCGACCCAATTATTTTTTTATTGAGATATAATACACACGCCATAAAACCCTCTTCAGGTGCACAGTTCATTGCTTTTCAGTACCAATTCATATGGTTGTGTAATCAGCATCATTACCTAATTCCAGAATTATTTCACAATGCCATAAAGAAACTGGATTTCCTCCCTCTTGCCGGTCCTCTGCAACCACAAATATAACTTTTATTTCTGTGGATTTGCTCACCTGAGCCATTTCATATAAACTCACATAATAAGTGGCATTTTGCATCTGGCCTTAGTATATTTTTAAGGTTCATTTGTGTTGTGGTGTATATCAGTACTTTGCTTCATTTGATGTGGAAATGCCACTTTTGTTTAATCCAGTTAGTGGTTAACAGGCTTTTAGATTATTTCTGTTTTTCGCTGTTCGGAATATATTTCTATGGACACTTGTGTACCAGTTTTCTCAATTCTCTCGAGTATTTACTCAGGTATGGAATTGCTCGATAGCATGGTAACTTGATGATTAATTATTTTGAAGAACTACGGTGGCTTTCATCATTTTACAATCCCATCACCAGTGAGGAGATGGGGTCCAATCTCTCTGTGTGTTTTCCATTGCTTGCTTTCGCTCCTTCAGACTCTGGTCTCCTTTGTGGGTGTAATGTGGCATCTCATTGTGATTTTGATTTGCATCTGCCTAGTGATTAATGGTGTTGAGCATCTTTTAATGTACTTGTTGACCACTTCTAAATCTTCTTCGTAATGATGTCCATTAAAATCCTTAGCTCATTTACGAAATTGCATTAATCCTCTTCTTATTGAGTTTGAGGGGCTTTTTTTTTTTTTTTTTTTTTTTAAGAGGATCTCCCTGTGTAGCCCAGGCTGGCCTCAAACTTGAACTCATAGTGATCCTCCTGCCTCAGCCTGTCCAGTGCTGGGATTATAGGCATGTATCACTACAACCAGTTAGTTTAAGGAGTCTGATATACAGTATTCTAGGAACATTTTGCAAGTATTTTCTCCTATTCTTTTGGCTGTCTCTTCCGTTTCTTGGTAGTGTCTTTTGGAGCACCAAAGCTATTAACTTCGATTAAGCCCAGTTTATCTATATTTTTTCCTTTGTTGTTTAAGGGTACAAATCTGAGAAATCACTGCTTTATCTGAGATCATAAAGACTTATAGCTGTCTTCTAAGAATTTTATATTTAACTCTTGCATGTAGGTCTTTGAACCACCTTGGATTAATTTTCATATATGGGATGAAGTAGAAATCTGCATTCATCTTCATCTTATTTACTTTTCTCTTGTTGCTGAGACAAAATACCCAACGCCCCAAATTAAAGGAAAAAAAAAAAGGATTATTTAGCTCATAATTTGTAGAGGTTTCAGTCTATAATCGGCTGACCTCAAGGCAGGGTGGCAGTGCAGAGGAGAAACGGTTCATGGTGGGCAGAAGAAAACAGGAAGGGATAAATGAAGCTCTTTCTGTCCTTTATATCTTATTCAGGCTACTTAGGGTGGGCAGCACTCACACCTTTAATCCTAGTGCACCCGATCCCAGCATTGCACCATGAATCAATCCTAGTGTCACACACCCTAGCTCCAGCCACCTCTAAGAAAGCCCTACCTGTGACCACTTGAGGCCTTGGGGGAGTATCTAGACACAAGCCATAACAATCCTTTTGCACGTAAATACCCAGCTTTCAGCACATTTGTTGGGATGACTATTTTTCCCCCTTAAACTGCTTTGGCCAGAAGTGTAGATATAGCTTAGTGGTAGAGTACTTGCCTGGCATAGTCAACACCCTGGGTTCAATCCCCAGTTCGACAAAAATAAATAAAACAAAACAACAATGGAAACAAAAAATGTCCTGGCATTTTAAGATGTAATTCTTATTAAAAAGCAAGCTACTTTTAGCCTTATATTGTGGTAATTTTTCTATGTTAATAAATGTACATTATTATCCTAATTTTTTTTTAATGTTACTAGGGATTAAACCTAGGGCCGTGAGAAGCAAGACCTGTCATGCAGGAGTACAAGATCCCAACAATGAATGTAACTGTCCTGTATCCCTAAAATGTACTAATAAACTCAATTAAAAGAAATAAACCTAGGGCCTTATTCATGTTAGGCAAGTGCTCCACCAGTGAGCTATGTCCCAGCCACTTTTTAAAATTTTATTTGAGACAGGATTTCACTAAATTGCCTGGGCTGGCCTTGAACTTGGGATCTTCCTGCTTCAGCCTCCTGAACATCTGGCATTATAGTCATGTTCCATTATGCCCAGCTCACTATAGCATCTTTTAAAGATAACTTTTTAGTGAAATGTAACATAAAAGAAAATGTAAATATCATAAGTGTTTAACTTGACCAGTTATCACAAAGTATTTGCATCCTTGCAACCACTATTCAAACCAAAAATAGAACATTACTAGCCGTGCAGAGGTCTGCTTTGTCCTTGTTGCTAGCCATGACCTCTACTTCCTCCCCAGTGGTACTCTCTATCCTGGCTCCTCCCACTGTACTGTAGCTCCACCCGCTTTTGAACTTTATATAAATAATGTCACACAGTATGTATGCTTTTGCATATGGCTTCTTTCACTCAGCATTACTGCAAGGCTGCGGGTCTTGTGGGCTACAGTGGTTTATTCGTCTTCACTGATTATTAGAATCACAGCACCATTTTTTAGTACATTCACTTAACAAATACTCATACATGCCAGGCCCTGCTTCGGGCCATGGGAACAAGACAGAAGATTCCTTTTCCTTTACAGCTCACGTTCTCTTGGTCGAGAGACTAGAAGTCCTATGCAAGAAAGTACAAAATAGAGCAGGGTGTTGCCATTGCACACAGAACAGTCACTGGAGAAACCACATGTAGGCAAAGACCCGAAAGAGGGGCAGGAAGGAGCCGTGGAGGTTTCTAAAGGAAGAGCATTCCAAGTAGAGGGAACAGCAAGTGTAGGGGCCTGGGGGTGGCAGAAGGCTGGCATATTTCTGGCCCAGCCAGGAGGCCAGGTTGGCTGGAATAAAAGGAGTGAGGGGAGTGGTGGAGAGGTCAGAGAGAGTTCTTGCAAGGACACTGGCTTTTACTGAGGGATGGGAGTCATCAACAGAAGTGTGAAGTAATTAGACTTTTTAAGAAAGACTCACTCTGGCTGCTGTGCTGAAGAAGGATGGTAGCAGGAATAGGGGAGAGTGGCCAGCAGCTCTTGCAGAAACCCAGGTGAGAGGCGATGCACACGAGGACCTGGGGTGGGTAAGGAATGGCTGCCCCCGTGGCCTGCTCTGAAGACCAGGCTGAGCGGTTGCTCCTGGGTTGGGTATGGGGTGCAGTGAAGGTGTGTTGAGTTGTTTTCCAGGTGTTCCATCCATTCCCTGCTGTCGGGCATTTGGGGTTCCAGCTTTTCATTGTGACAGACAGGATGGGGTGACCATCCGTGTGGGTCAATCTGCATGGTTAGGATGTGACTTTGGTGGCCAGACTCCTAGGGCAAATCTCAGCCCTGCTGTCATGATTTGGATAGGTTAATAAATTCTGTGCTTCAGTTTCTTCGTCTCTAAATTAGGGATGACAGTTAATACCCTGTAGGTGAGACTTATCTGTGAAGGCAGAAACATTGTAAGCACTATGTGAATGTCAGTTGTTTTCATTATTTTTCTTTAAATGAGGCTTCATATCAAAAAAGACCCCAATACAAGTGTTTTTGCAAAAAGCATTTATAGTAATGCCTTAAATGGAAAACACTGTCACTTTCTTGGAAGAATAGGAATTCATAAAATAAATTTAATGGAAACAAAACCATGCTCTTAAGTGCTAGTTTAGGTACTGCTACATGGCCGAGCAGATGAGGCTGTGTCCAAGTCCTGACAGTACCAAACTGGGACCTCTCGTCTTCAGCTAGCGGAAGACTGACAGAGAATGGAAAGTGAATGGAAAGGATTTAAAGGCCCTGTCCTCGCTCCCAGTGTGTGTCGTTTGAGAACCTCACAGTATTGGAGCTTTTAGATGGCCGAGGACTTGGGGATTCCTTAAAGGCTGCATCAAGATCATACTAAAGGTACTAGGAGATCATAACAAGGTTTTTTTAGCTTTTTATTTTATAAGATATGGCCTAGTGTGCGTGGGGTGTGGTGTGTGGGTGGGTGGGTGGTGTTCTCAGGACTCTCCCTTTCCCTTCTAGTTGAAACATAGTCCAGAAAAAGCTGGGCATGGTGGCACAACTGTAATCCCAACACTCAAGAAGGCTGAGGCAGGAGGATTCCAAGTTCAAGTCCAGCTTGGGCGATTCAGCATTGTAGAAAGAATTTCAAAATAAAAAGTAAAATAAAAATAAAGAGGACTGAGTATGTAGATCACTGCAAAGGTCCTGATAAAGAAAGAAAGAAAGAAAGAAAGAAAGAAAGAAAACTTTAGCCAGGACTCACAGTTCCAAGGTCAGACCCATCTCTGTCTCATTCAGCCCCAGGTTAGGACTAACAAGTCTGAGGCCAGCTCTGCGCCTGGCAGCTGGCAGAAGGGGAGTGGCTGCCCAGGCGACCTAGCTTTGGGGGCGTGGCGGGGCGTGGCGATCTCCAGGCTCTGGAGCCTGGGCTGCCACAAAGACTCTCAGCTACAGCTGGGCAGAGAGGATTTCGTCGCAGGCGTCTGGGCGGTGAGTTTCCGTCTGGGGCTCCTGTCTGTGCTTCTGGCCGGGGATAGACTGAAGGAACTGAAAGTAGGCGCCGAGGGTCCCGCCCCGGAACTCAGACGCTTGACTTCACAGCTGTCCTGGCTGCTGGGTTTGGAGATAGGCTGCCTCGGTTTCCCTGGGGGCATCCCACGGTGTAGACTCCAGGTAGAAGGAAGTGAGGTATCTCCGAGTTGGGGTGCTCTTTGCCCCCTGTGGTAACAAGATGAGGTTTGGGGGGCGGAGCAGAACGTCCGCCCCCACCCCCCCACCGGAGCCTTGAGGTCTGAGGAGAGGCTGTGCCCAGAGGGTGGCAGTTCCTTCCTCTCGCTGGGCCTCATCCCTCACCCGGCCTGCTGCACTTTGACTTTTAGGGAAGTTGCCCACCTCCTTGGCAGAGGATTCCAATCCTGTGTCTGTCCAGACAGGCCCGCACTCAGGCCTGCCGGCTGCATCCTCCAGGCTGTTGGCCTCTTCTGGCTTCTCAAACTGGTGCAGCAGCCATCTGGTCCTACCTGTTTCTCACAGACTACAGAGCTCCTCTCACCCCATGGGATTGAATCTCCTGCAACTGGGTGAGGGTTGGAGGCCAGGCCCCTGGCTTCCTGCCCTGTAGCCTCGGTTTCCCCATGGGCTGTGTCTGGTCTCCGCCAGGTTCCTGCTTCTGTTTAGGGAGAAATCCTACCCTGTCACTCCTTCCCGGCCCCTCAGTGAGGAAGTCCAGAGTCACAGCCCCCCTGCCACTGCCTCTGTTCTGCTCTCCCCATCCCCATCCTGCTGCTCACTCCAGGCCCCTTGGCCTCTCTGCACAAAGGGGTCTGAAGCTAGAAGGGGCCCATCTAGGCCCCTCCAGGTCAGAATCCCCCTGCTGCACAGACCCTGTGACCAGGAGCTTGCTTTTTAGGAGGTGGCTGTTTGTGTCTTGCAGCTCTAGTTTCAAGTCTGTGCCTTGTGGATCTAGATCCTGACCCTCCATCCTTATCTGCTTCCTGAGCAGATGTGCTGAGTAAATTAATTCATCCATTCATTCTGTCTTCATCAGTGCACTGGATGACACATGCGGGATATAGAAGCAGAAAAACCAGACATCGCTCCCTGCTTTCATGGATTGCATGTTGTCGAAAGGAGCATCAGCAAGTAAATAAGTAAATACCTGGCATGTTGTGTGGTAGAGAAAAATAAAGCAAGAAAGGACAGGGTGCTGGGGCTGGGGTTTGAAATTTTATACAGAAAGGCAGGGAAGGCCTTTCTAGGCAGTGACCACTGAATAAGTCATTAGGAACCATTTGACTGTCCAGGGCAGTAATGGCAAACCTTTTAGAACTTTCAATGATATAGACAGCCCGCCGGCTGTGGCACATGTGCTGTAGGTTCGCCACCACTGGTCTAGGGGAAAGGAAAGAGTGTCTGTGAAGCAAAGAGCTTGTGCCAGGGCCCTGAGGCAGGAGCATGTTGGGCAGGCGTGCTTTATAGTTTGCTGTAAGAATAGAGAGAAAAGGCCAGTGTGGCTGGAGCAGGGTGGGAAGTGGAGAATTAAGAGGAAATCAGTGCAGAAAGGTAAGGAGTGGGAGGTGAGGGTCTACTGCATAAAGTCTTGAAGGGCACCGTGAAGGCTTTGGTTTTCACTCTGAGTGACACCAGAGAACTCTGTGCCGAGGAGTCACCTGCTGTGGCCTGTAGGCTATGGCAGGCTTATCTGGTGATGGTAGGGGTGAGAGCCCTGGGAGCCTTCACCACGTTGTAGAGGTGGAGAAAAACCTCAGGCTTTCACATTTGGGATCCCTTTTTGAAGGTTGGGCCCCTAGGATGTGGAATGCATAAGAAATGGAACTTGATGTTCTCAGCCTGAGAACCTAGAAGTTTGGACCACTGTCACCCGAGACGGACCCTCTGTAGGCGGGATGGGGAGTTTGGCCTTGTGCCTGTCAGGTTTGAGATGCCCCTCAGGCATCCTACGATGCTGAGGAGGCAGCTGGGAAAAGCTCCCCGGGGTTGGGGCTGGTAGTAACATTTTGGGAATCATCACCTAAACTTGGTGTTTAAAGCCCTGAGCACATGGGGTCTTGCTTAGGGAGGGGGTAGTGTGGAGAGGAGCCAATCATGATGCTCTGGGGTCTTCAGGACTAGGCCCAGCCGGAGAGACAGAGCAGCCACCCCTGACGTGGGAGGAAGGTGAGCCCCGTGTCCTGGGGAGCCCCAGGAGCAGGGCGGGCAGCCCCCAGGACGGATGCCCGAGAGAGAGAGAGAGAGAGAGAGAGAGAGCGCGAGCGAGCACAAGTGAGGCCAAGGTTGAGGGTTGGGCTACAGGAGGACACTGGCAACCTTGCTGGGGAGGGGAGTTGGAAGGGATCAGGGAAGACTTGAGGACAGCAGTCCAAGCAACAGACATGGGAGAAAGGGCATCGGAGCTGAGAGGAGGGGTCCAGAGTCTGACTGCACTCCAGTAGGAACATCTCTTAGAGAAGCTCGAAGGCAGGAGGGAGAGGGAATCTTGGCTAGGGGAGAGAAAGGATGGGTCCAGTACCCCAGGGGAGGCTAAGTCCCCCCGCAGGGTGTTTCTGGGTGGCTTCCTGACCTCCTTCCCCTCAGGCCAGTGGTGGAGGTTTCAGCACTTAGCAGAGCACCTGGCCCCGCGCTCAGATAAACCAGGCTGGCTGGGTCTCGGGAAGGAAGAGGTGTCAGGGCATAGGTGTGGGCTTAGGGGTAAGGGAGGATCCTCGTGAGTCACTTGCTGATCTCTGTTTCAGCAAGAAGAAGAGGACAATAGTGACTTGGAACTAGTAATAACCGAAGTAGAGAGGAGAAGGCAATGGAGATGAACTGATGCATTTGGACTGAAGAGTGGAAATCTGACCAGGTACTAAAAACTCCGGAGAAAGTTAGGGACAGCTTTTATGAAATAGGTGGTAAGTAAACATCTTCCTGTCTCTCTCTCTCTCTCTCTCTCTCTCTCTCTCTCTCTCTCTCTCTC